GGGTTATATTTCTAAGAGGGGAAGCTAATTCATACCCTGGCAGTCTGACTGCAACCTCACTCTTGTTCAATCACCTCCTACTTTATGGCAAATATGCCTCTAGCTTCCAAGCTCTCATTACTTGGAAGCATCACACACAGAGATAAGGCATTTCCACATAGAGGGCGGACCCCTTGCCGTAAATATTCAGGCCGTCCAACGACCTCTATAGCAGCTCTCAACCTGAGCTACACTTTGTGTCACCTGGGGAGCCTTAAATAGCACTAATGCCTGGGGTCCCACCCTCTGAGATTCTGATAAAGTCAGTCTAACATGAGGTCTGGGCACTGGGACTTTTAAAAAATGTTTCTTAGGAATTCAAATAGGCAGCCCAGATTGAGAATGACTACTTCCAATTTTCCAGGAATGGGGTTTGTTCTGGAGGCAAGTTCTACCCATGCAGGACCAGGTACTGACCTTATGTGTCAACCGTTCATACCTTGATGCAAGATTTTTAATCTGCTACTTATGTAAATTTACCTGTGTTCGTCAGTACCATCTGTTATTTTAGATGAGCTTCCAATAAAAGGTCAGAGCCCATGTCTTATTTGTACGTGTATCCCCAGAGCCTAGTACCATCCTAGAAATTTTATTTCTAATTGGGAAAAAAATGATGAAACCACACCTAACCATCTCCATATTACAATCACAGGATCTGTTACAGTGACAATAACAGGATCTTAAATCTCACTTAAATCTATCTACTGGTTATTGTTGAACTGAATATTTATCTGCTAGGCTTCGAGATAGTAAAAGAAGCACACTCTGTCCCTGTAGTTTGAGATTTCTTGGGGATGTTCTCGAAGGATGAATAGTGTGTGAGAAATATTATCTAACCTCTGCTAATACGGTATGTCTCTGCTTATTTCCATGACCCCGGCACAGGCAGCCTGACAGAGAGATGGCTCCAGGGTCAAGGCAAAGAGATTGAGGCACTTAAGCTTGGCTGACTGCTACAAAAATCGCACTTGTTTTCCTTCATACCAGTATAGCCATCGCCAATACCTGGTTAGCTTTTCCCTTTGTGGCTTGCACTGTGCTAGACAAGTTTTCTCACTCTGACTTGTGTTTTACAGTTCACTTACCCATAGAGGATTTAACCAGGAATCCCTTTATAACACTTCCCTCCTAGATGGGTCTGTTGGTGACACCTCTGCAGACCTGGCCTCAGCCACTAGCACACAGCACTCTCACAATCTAACAGCTGGGTCAGAGTCAGCAAAACCTGTTTTTTAAGGTACAAGAGAAAGAAAACTGTTACTCGCCATTTGACCATAATCAGGAACTAGTGGAGGAACAGATGCCCACTAGCTTCTCTGCAATAGCCACTCTTCTGAAATCATTCTTCAGTTCATTTTCTCCATCTCTTTGAAGCTCAGTGCACGTGGTTGGACCACGGAAGTCCAACCAAAGGATGGACCACCCATCCTTTGGTCTCGAGGAACTGCCTTTAATCATTTACTTCATGCTACCCAAGCTGATCAAACAACCCTTCCACATTCCTGTTTTCTCAGCTCTGGGGATGTACTTATGTGGAAGCCAGTCACCTACAGCATTCCACTCTTTCCTCCTTTAAAACAAAACAGTCCGTCAGTCCCAGCCTGTCTTCCCACATTGTCCTTCTGTGGGCTAGGGTACTAGAGATGAGCTTATTAAGATGTTTTCATTTAGGGTAGAAGGCTAGAACTTATCCTTACTTCCCTGGTCTGGACAACTGAAAGCATTCCCCACTGACATCTACCCCACATTCTAGAATATTCTGAACCACAAGGGCATATCATAAGCCATGACTGTGCATGACACACTGCGAGGTTGTGGCAATGACACGTCAGTGTTTGCAGACGGGTCCAAGGATCCCCTGTATAATACCACTATCACTCCTAGGCATCCCTGTATTTTATGAGAGGGGGAGAAGCGAATAGAATCACAGGAGTCATATAAAGCACTGCCAATGACCTCCAGCCAAGAGCATTTATGCCATAGCCCTAGCCAAACCACAGTTACTGACACTCTTAACAGTTATGTTGATTATACATTATTGCAGTGATTTAAACTGGGTACACCCATAGGACTGTGGCTAATAAAGGGTCACAGCCACTGGCCTATCATTAAGGAGTGCCAATCACTCATTTCTTTGGGTGATAACATCTGTCTGATCTTCCAAGAACTAAGAAAGCTAAGACTTAACACGTTACACCAAGTTCAATGGAAAACTATTACCTAAGAGCCTGGGCATATAATACATTTTAGATTGGAAATTTATTCAGGCCAGGGCATGCTATATTATCTGGGCGCTATATACATACCTTATATTTATTAAATTGTGATAATCCAGCTAGAGAAGTTTCATAAAATTGCTTAAATTTAAACGAAATCCATTGGTGAAGAAAATATTTTCTGACCTGTCAATTCTGCCAAATCAGTCCTTGGTGACCAGTATGATGAGTCGTGTCACAGCTGGCCTGCTCTCACATCCAAAGTGTATTCTAAGAAGAAAGCAACTTAGCCATAAGAACTTTTCGCTTCATGCCATGGTATCATTGCTAAATGACGCATCGTAAGCCTTTGAAGCAAATGAATCAACACATACAGACATCTCCCAATTTGTAGGTATCTTGAACAAACCACCTTTAAGATCATTTTCTTTTGAAAATATCCTCAACTGAACAGTAGAGCCAAAAGGGGGGAAAAAAACCCCATCCATCACATTTACATTGCATTTTGGGGGGGGCTGATGTGAGATTATTCTTAGTGTCCCATATAAATAAAAACACGAAAAACTTTACAGTTTAGTTTGATGAAATAAAAAGAAAGGCAATTCACATTATTTATAATTTCACATATACAATGCTGTGTTACTAAGCAATGAACAGTTTCATAAAAAAATTTATTTCACACTTTTATACAAATATCCACAGGTATTTTTCTAATCATGAAATAATTTCACAATGCTAGTTAGTATAAAAATGTATCAAATGCAAACAGACCAGTGACTTGACTTGAGATGACATTTTTAACAACTATAAATTTAAACACCACTACATTCTTGCTGCTTTTGTTGTTGAACCACCCTTGTCCCCCCCCCCCCCCCCGCCCACCTTTTAGGACATTCATTTTTATAACAAAGGTCTATAAACACTTTCAAAATACCAGCTTCTGAGCAACCTATACGCCAGTGCACTAGGTTGCAAGTTACCTAAGCAAGAAACTGAGATTTTAAACACTGTTATGACCTGTTTTAGAGAAATCTTTGTAAACAAAATATCACTTATATAACTATTTTTGTTTTGAAAATTCCAAAGTACAACTAGTATCTTAAGGGCATAACATTTCTGAAAGGAAAAAAAAAAAAAATTCAAACTCCAAAGCAACAATGGCACACGTAGCTGTATTTTGTTCTTTTAAAAGATTCTGAGATGCTGCTTACACTATAGCCAAACAAATTAGCACCTGTTTGCTGTTGCGCCCCATATAACTTAACATTTTGAAGTACAGTGATTTTTTAAAATTTAGTTTTCGTATCTATTCAATCTCTATTGAATGTATTATATAATAATATCTTCCTCCTCCCTCCCCTTCATCTTTAAAATTAAACAATTTAAAGTTCTTTATATAATAATATCTTCCTCCTCCCTCCCCTTCATCTTTAAAATTAAACAATTTAAAGTTCTTTTTTAGAGTAGTCAAAGTCTTTTGGGGGATGCAGACAGGAGAGGAAACAAAGCAAGAAAACAGAACATCAACTCACTGATTAAATGCTTCCAGTAACATTTAAAAATGTCAAAGCCACAATGTTCTAACTTTTGGTATCAAGTATTCAGTAGTCTTACGCTGGATCGGTTTGGGTCCACCCTAGGTACTCACCGTTTCTTTCAAGTCCTGAATATACAGTATTTTCAGCAGTGACTAAACTGCACTAAAGTCCAACAAACAATCCCATCATTTCCAAGAGTTCCTGAAAGTTATAGCATGAAATTCAGAAATATCACACAGGGCTCTAAACTAAAAAATACCTGCTGTCTTTAAGAATTAAACATCTTACAGTTAAATCCTATTTCTTAAATGTTTTGGGTCTGGAGGGAGGGGGTAAGGGCTGCCACGAAGGGAGATGTTTTAATAACTTAAACTTATCTGTAAAGTATAACAACTCTGATACATTTATACAGAATTACTGTTTTCTTTAGGCAGTCAATAATTTAGGTCCGACCAACGACCTCTCATGTTCTAATTCTGATTGCTTAATCCAACCTGAAGGGTAAACTGGAGAATCTTTGGCCTGTTAGTCAATTAACAAAATGGTTTGTAAAAAAGAAAAATAAATACCATCTACAAATAAGTATAACTAGCATTCAAATCTGTTATGCCTGTGTGTTTTAGTGAGAGGGGAATTAAACCTCTGTGTATTTGGTGTGAGCAGGTATTCACACATCTAGGAAATGGAAAAAGATGGCAGGATGGCAGCATCACCTTCTATTGCACACTTAATTTATGGGAGCACTTTAAACTGAACCCAGCTACCCTGACGGCATAGTCTTGTAACACAGGACAGTGGACTTGCAGGTTCTCTGGTCCTGCGAGAAGAACGTTTGCAGAGGTGGTGCCGAGGTCAGGATGGTCACTCTGTTGGTGCAGTGGTTGTGGTGGCTTCTTCCAGCTATACCATCAAGAGGATGTGGCAGGTCCTTCCCCAGCACAGGTAAGTCAGTCACACCAAAAACAAAGGCAACCCGGAACATTAAATTAAGGCAGTTTAAAGAAAAATCCATTCCAACAGCCTTCAAATTGGCCGTGCAAAACAGGAGCCTCAGGCTACATAACAATGTCCACAGTTAAAACTGTAGGCTTGTACTGTGTGTAATCTGTCTGAAATCTGTATTCAGGTATTGAACAGGCTTTTCAATCCATTTGAATTTCTGGGTTGGGGAAAACAAAAAGCAGTTTGGGTACTGTGAAGCTTTTTTGGCCCCCCTAGGAGTAGCTTTCATTTTCATTCCACCTTGTGATCCACTGTTTTTTTTCAAGGTTATCATTATATTTTTCATCTTGGATCTCTCGCTCCTCTTTCCGGATCCTTACAGCATGGTATCGGGGAACACTATCGTCGTACCTAGAGCGTTTAAAGAATCCACACTGGAGGCAGGGGAGAAAGACACAGAAACAAATTAAATAATTCCAACAAGAGCATGTCCACTAGATGGCAATGTCTAAGCTTTCTGTTCACCTATGCCTAACTTTGGACTTGGACAAAGAATAAAACACATGGTTTTCTTTTAAGAAGGAACCAATAGGTCAAAAAGAAATGATAACAGCCGGTGGGGATAAACGGAAGAGAACAGCTGTAAAACTGGAAGAAAAGTCCCTTTTTCCACCTTGTCCTTCCATCTTACAACAATGTTAGTTGCCTCTACCAGTTGAAGAGCTTATGAAACAGTGCTTCCATTTTTTATAATCACAATACTGTACGTAAAAGATCTAATTTTCAGATTATTAGAACATCATGTTTCAAGAACACATTTTTTTCCCAAGGCCATACACCAAAGATTATTTCATGCCCCCTTCCACTAACAAAATGGAAATCAGGTCACAAATATTTTATAAATTACTACTTGAAGTGGGTCAATTTAAGAAATCTCTCCTCCAAGGCTCCAGTACTTATCTCTCAATAGCTAGAAGGTGATTTATACTGCCTGGATTTCCAAACAAAGCTTCAAAACTAAGCTGTTTCATTAATAAATCATGTAGTAACTGTGTCCTGCAATAAAATCATTTATGTACTGCATGGAATTTGAGGAAACTATCACTTGACTGAATTTCAGAGCATCCCCTAATTTCTTTTTTTTTTGGCGAAAAGACAACATTTACATTTAAATTATTAACGAATATATATTTTATTGATCTTTAAAAAAATATTCAATCTGATCCAAAGTAGATTTTTATTGAGAACATATCTGGAAATTTAAAAATCAGATTGAATTTTTTAAATGAATAAAATATATATGTGTTTTTTAAAAAGACGTGTTTTTAATTTAAAAATGCAGATAAAAGGTGGATGAGGAAGATACTTAGAATGGTTGGTTAATGTGTTTAACTATGTGACATCAACAGGAACAGAACATTTGTTTTGAATGATGTTAAGTTATAAAAATGGCATGGGACAAAATGAAATTATGTACGAAGTTATCACTGAGTCAATGGGAAAAATGGACCAAGAAGTTTTGTTCTAAGGCCTTTTCTATCTTCTGCAAAGAAGCCAAAACAACTATCTGTTGCAGTATGTGGCTCTTCCCCATTTAAACAAAGAAGAAATCAAGGGGGATCCATAAAACTGAAATGGGGTTGGGATTCATCGTGACAGTGCCATGGAAAGGGATCATAGGGGTAATTCTACCCTCTCATGCCCACAGAAATGGAAAAAGGAATCTCTGCCATTCCCATTTCCGTGGATTTACAAATAAGAAAAGCCAAATACAAACTTAAAATCAACTGAGACCCAAGGTTGAAAAGAATCTCTAGGAACAAGGAACAAGGTCAAACCCCATTACAACGTTCTGAAATAAACTGTCCAGAGCATTTTTATATTAGAATTTTGTATATTGAAGGCCATGTGGCAAAGAATCGTCTTCTGAAGTTGACCATAATGTCCATCACGCCAATAGTTAGAGTTTGTTGCAATGGTCTTTGACCCATGGTGGATATGCAGGGAAAGGAAGTTGCATGCTTAGCTAGCATAAAACAATTTCTGAGCAACAATAAAAGCATTCCAAGCCTTCCCCCATCACTTCATAGCAAGGAGATCAAAAAGATGACAGTGAGAAAGGCTTCTTTTCAAGAGAAACACAATGTTTCCAACATGCAATAGGTTAATGAGGCAGTCAACACAAGCTTCTATCTGTGGGAAATTCCAAAATGGACAAGAAATCTCGGATGATTTCTTATGCATCTTTGAAATTCCAAGTGAGATGCTACATACTGGATTAACAACACATGGCAAACTGGGCTACTGTGGAGGTCTAAAGCCTCCTTTTTTGTGTACATAGGTTGCCGTTTTCTTCATTGCTGTGGGTAATGTTTAATAACAACAACAACAACACAAAATTACTCACCTGCAATGAAAGATTCTTTGTGCATTTTTTAAAAACTGTAAGCTTTCAAGTGAAATAAATGAAATAAATCCAAGCAAGGCAAGCCAGTGTGGACATTTGGAAACATCTGTTAATGGGACACACACAGCAAGCTGTTGCTTTTAAAGTTAGCCACCACAACCATAGCGGGTCCCACAGCTAGCAATTAAAAAACATTGATCAATTACCAATTACAGAAGTAGATCAATACTAGGCATCAGAAGTAAGCCTCTCTTTATCAGACGGCTGAGCATGGATCTCAGCCTTGTGATATGTGGCATCATAATGATCTTTCTTATTTCTCTTGAAGAAACCACACTATAAGGAAGCAAGGTATTTAGTCAGTGTTAACAGTTTTGTGTATAAAAGCTAAACAAAAGAAAATCTCAGATTTTAACCTGTTTTCTACTTACAGCTTGTTTACAAAGAGACCACTATGCATCAACCAAAAGGGACCAGCCCCTGCGCTATACTACATGGTGACAGCAATTAACCCAACTCTATTACCATGGGTCTCTGGTCAAATATTTATATGGATGACATTAGCTGATTGATTTTTCTATTTGTAACAAATCCTAAGGACCAAAATCATCCTAAAAGGGAAAATATATACACATCTGATTACAGCTTTGGGTGGTTTCTTCTTGCAGGGAATACGGAGTTTAAAAATAGGCAAAAGATTGACATCTTTTAAAGAATAAATTCTCTAAGGCTTAGCACAAATCCAAATAAAATAGATTCTGTTAATATTTTTCTGCCCTTCGCAGTGAATTTTATGGGATAAATGCCATTTGCTTGGGGGCCTTGGTGGGGGTAAATCACAATATAAATTCAAATACACTGTCATGAAACAACGACAGTTGTCATTTTCCCAAATTCTGAACCACCACGTAACACTTCAGTGGTAGGAATCTGTGCTCCTCAGGTTAGGTCACTCTAAATGAGTATAAAGGTATAATCCCACTTTCTACTATAATTTCCTCATTCAACCGTGGAGAACTTTTTCTACTTACTTTTATCTCGTTCATAAGGCCATGGAACTGCCCTTTGATATATAACTTGATTGAACAATTTCTGACCTCCTGGAAAATTCTGCAGCCTAGCCTGGCAACTCACGAAGTACAAATCTTGATCTGCTTTGTACAGTGTGGTAGCTACTAACCACATGAGGCTATTCAGATTTAAATTAAATTTAAAAGTCAGTACCTCCGTTGCACTAGCCATATTCCACGTGCTCAACAGCCACATGTGACCAGTGATTACCATAATGGACAGTGCAGCTTCAGAACATCTCCATTATTACAGAAAGTTTTACTGTGCAGCGTTGATCCAGGCTGTTGATCTAGGCTATTGATCTGGATATTTATTTCTGACATTTAATTTATTATACAGTGAGCACACCCAGCCAACTTTCAGTAACACGTGCTAGTAAATATCGTGGGAAAAGGAATGAACCACAAACCAAGAGTCCTTGTTATGCCTCTAACTTGGCAACATTCTTAACATCCATGGGCGTGAGCATCTTTGTTTACAAAATGAAGATGACTGGACCAGGCTGGAGGACTTTTCTCTTATACCCTCAAACAAAACCCTATGCAGAATCCCTATGTTCAAAGCAGATAAAGTCACAACGGCTCTGGTTGAAGTGGGGATACTGCCCCTAGCCCCACCTGCGTAGCTTCGTCTTGGCACCTACGTGGATATGCAAAACTCAATTTAAAGGCCAGTGAACCAGAGTCCTCTCTGGTCCTCAAAGTCTATTATTTTAGCACATAAAAGCAAACAGTGCAGTTTCAGAAAGAAAAGCATAAAGTAATAAAAATGATTTTCATGGGGGGGGTTGTTGTAGAAGTTGTCTGATTACTTTAGAGTTCACTTGTGAGTCCGGATACTTTAGAACATAAAAAAAAGGAGAGAGAGATCATCTAGTCCAACCCACTTACTAAGCAGCTAAGGCAAACCAGTGCCCCAGGGAGGTGAAATGATTTGTCCAAGATTATATAGCTCGGGTTTCTTAACTCTCAACTTACCCTCATTAGAGACTGCCAATAAGATCTGCTCTGAAAAAGATTGTTCTTGTGACCTCTTCTGGAGAGCAGAAGGCCATCCTCAAATATCAAACCTTGCACTCAAGTTTTTGATATCAAAATAATTTCCAAAGCATCTCCTATATTGGCTGGCTGTGCTCATCAGACAAACCTACTACCTGAAGTGAACATCAGAGGTAGGACTGGCTAACATCCCATGGGAGGATGGGTCTTGGCATGAGCAGATACCAAGCTTCAATCACACAACTGGAGGACACAGGAAAATTATCTCAGAAAATTATCTTGGCAAGAGGAAGTTACTTGAAAAAATAAAGTGAAAAAGAGATGCCCAATATTTGAAAGTGAGAATATCCTGAGCCCTGTCCATTATACTCTTGGATCCAAGGAAAAGATAAGGATAGTCTGATCCTAGGTATTGTCGGTGGAGTTTCATCATCTGTTAACCTCTCGACCAGACGTGTTTGGAAACCCAGAATTTTTGGCATTTTAGAAAAGTAACACACTGCATACATAATGTCACAGTAATCAAAACGTTAGTATTTCTGCAGTGAGACTAATGAGTAAAGGACAAAGACCATAAAGAGCCTCTTTTCACATCATGTCAAGTTGTGCTGCTGAATAAGTCATTACAAACTGAGTTTTTTTTTTTTACAAGTTGTGATTGTTGACAAAGGTTGATAAAGGTCTGTGAACCTCCATTACTCACTGAGAATAATCCAAAATCTATAGGTCATAATCTCTGGCAACAAAAGTATGCAACATCTCATACATTTTTTGTAATGTAGACTATGTACTAGTAGAAAGCAGGCGGAAGATACTACATTATATTTGCAGGACCAAATGCTAATGAAGAACATTATATGAAACACGGATCTTCCTTATGTTTGATATAGGCTATGAAAACTACTCTGGGATTCATTAATTTCATGCTTTCCTATTCCTAATCTAGCTGCAACTGTAACAAGCCCCAACTGCTGCCATGAACATTTCTTTACGAAAGTTGAAATTAACCGGGATACAAATTCTGATTAACGTGATACCCAACAATTTGCCTTAGATTCAGAATTTGATCTTAGATGAAGAAAAGGTCATAGTGGTAAGATTTTTTAAATTGTTATTTGCCAAACGTGCTAAATTATATGTGAAAAACACCAAAATTTACACACTTAAGAAGCTCCTTATAATGCACAAATACTATATACCTTTAAATACAAAATGTTAGATAGATATTCAGATGTTCATTGTATAATTCTCAAGTTTGCTGTATGCTGGAAAAGTTTCATAGTAAAATGTTGGGAAAAGGAAGCAATAAAAAAATATACTATCAGTGTTAATTTACTTTTTAAAAAACCTGAAATAAAGTTTGTATCACAAAACTCAAGTGCCAGATATGACTTACCTTCCATAGTAAAAATACTAATAGAGCAAGCATCAAAATCCCAGCAAGAATAGCCACTAGGATGATCCACCAAGGTACTCCTGAATATTGAGCTACAGTCTTTGAGGGAAACACAGTCACACGAACCTATGGGGCATAAAAGAAAGCAATATCATTATAAACTGAGGCGAGAATTAAACCATGAGTTTATATTACAAATTCTGCTTCCAGACACATTTTGGTCAATGTAGCCTATGGACAGGTGAGATGTCTTTTTGATGTGAGATCCTTTCCTTTAGTAACGAAATACTGCTTTAAGCGACGTTTCTTGGAGATCTTCTCCCAGAACCTGGAAAATGCTGGATTGTGGGGTTTTTTTAAATAAATTTATTTATTTTTATTTATGTGTTGGGTCTTCGTTGCTGCATGTGGACTTTCTCTAGTTGCATCGAGCGGGGGCTCCTCTTCATTTCGGTGCACGGGCTTCTCATTGTGGTGGCTTCTCTTGTTGTGGAGCACAGGCTCTAGGCATGTGGGCTTCAGTAGTTGTGGCTCACGGGCTCGGTAGTTGTGGCTCGTGGCTCTAGAGCGTAGGCTCAGTAGTTGTGGTGCACGGGCTTAGCTGCTCCGTGGCATGTGGGATCTTCCCGGACCAGGGCTCGAACCCATGTCCCCTGCATTTGCAGATGGATTCTTAACCACTGCGCCAGCAGGGAAGTCCTGGATTGTGTTTTGACAAAATAATTATTTCTTTGCTAACTTATGTTTTTAAAATTTTTGTAATCAACAAAAGTAGAGAAAATTGTATAATGAACCATCATTTATTCATCACCAAGTTTCAACAATTATCAATAGGGACACAACCCCAATCTTGTTACATCTATATAACCTGGTATCTTTTTGAGAATGGTCACCTCTCTTAATTAAGCATCCAACAATGGCAACAAAAGGGTCTGTTTATGCACAATAAGCCTACATTCCTCCCTCAGATTTTAAAGACGTTATGAAATATAAAAATAGGGATGGAGCTATTAGATGGTATTAGAGGCATTAGATGGATACCATTGTAATACTTCCTTAGGGTTGAAACCGAGCAGGACCCTACAGGGCGCCCCCAGCTGACAGCTACTTGGAACCACAGGACTGAGAAGGTCATCTCTGAACGTAGAAGATTACCTCCTCTCCAGCACATAGCCCCTCTTTTCCCTACATAATCCCTGAGCAAAACCTGGGGAGTTGGTTCTTTGGGATATGAGTCCACCTTCTCCCCAGGATTGCCAGCTTCCTCAACAAAGCTATCTTTTCTTTTACCTAACACTTCTCTCTCACAAGTGGATTCTTGAGCGACAAGAAGCCAAACCCGAGTTCAGTAACAGGATGGCAAACTAAAGATCCTCATAAAGAATAAAATTTCCTGAAATGGCTTGGTGTCATCTTCTACAACAATGTGTATAGACAAACTGGACTCTGGCTTCATTCGGAGGCAGCTTAGAGCTTTAAGTGGCAGCTGATGAGAAGCTTAAGTTCTAAACATTTGATAGCTGGCAAATACCAATTAAACAGACATAGTGTTTATTTAGAAATCTAAAAAGTTGCTTATGGCGATTTGCTACAACTTGGTTACACGGGTTTAGAATTCAAGTGGAGTTTTGTAACGCCAGGAGGCTTTTTTTCCCCCGGAGATGATCTTTCAAAGCACATAAAAGACCTGGTGAAAGCTACAAATATGATTTTGTAAACTATACTGATTAGAGATATACCAGTTTGAAGTTTCTGATATTTTTGAATTTAGAGAATCTAAAGTGAAGGGTAAAGAAAACTTAGAGGGAACAATTTAATTTCTGAGAAATGTTTCTATTCACGTATTCTAAATTAATATTGAATTCTGGATGCTGCCTAAAAATGCTTCTATGTCTACACTGTGATTCAATACTACTATACTAGAACTCTTTCTTTAAAAATCTCTTAAAGTACTTCCCTTCCTACTTATCCTAGAAAACAGCTTCTCAACCTCCTTTGGCTTATGGAATACACTTAAAAGTAAGAACTGCTTTCCTTTAAACATTTAATAGGAAAGAATCCACTTTTAGAGTTTTTAGCATAAACACCTTTCTCAGCTACTATGTTTCCTGTTATGCTCTCAATGAGGTTTCACTCAAGCTCCCAGCCCCAGGGAGGGCCTCATGGCTCACTTCTGTTGCCTCCCTTCCCCCAACAGGTGTCCTAGCTTTAAGCTAAAACAACCCTTTCTTGAGATTACTGGCTCAAGCAGAGGGGTACCCACGAAGTGGGGAAGAAAGAATGGTGAGAGACTGGTGAAGAAATAATATAGTTGATGTGACTGCTAAGCCAGACTATTCCAAAATAAAAAGATTATTTCAATTAGCCTATGCTTTATCTCATTTAACTTTGCTTCCCTAGTATGTAGCACAGGGAAGCCACACAGTGTGTCCCTGGGGTAAGGTGATGACTTGGAAGGGCCATCCTCATGTTTAAGAATAAGCTCTGATGAAACCTTGAAGTGGAGAGTGGAAACTGGTCCATGGCAAGGGCAAGCAGCCTTATAAGTCACACTGCATACCAGAGCCTTTTAAATGGCTGATCATAGGGGGAAACCATGCCCATAAAAGGCTGCAATCCAACAGCATAAGGGCTGAACAAGGTAGTTTATTTTGCGGGTTGGGGCTGGGGTGGTGTGTAGTTTTAAAAACTAAAACAACTCACTGTGCATCAAAGACTGAGGACTGATGCTAGGGGTTGGGCCACACATTTAAAGGCCAGATGTGCTCTGCAAACCCAGTGTGTGCAAGGCCACAGTGTGGTCCAGGAAGGCGAGAGAGGCCAGTCAGCAAGATTTTATTGTTTGTTTCCTTAAATTGTCAACTGTGTGTGTGTGTGTGTGTGTGTATGACAGTCATTCTCCAGCTGGGACTGAGAATGGGGGTTGTGTGGAGCTGGCCTTAGAATCGGGTGAGGGGAGACCAACTGTGAGCTGCGACTCCCAGACCTCGGGAAGCCTTGTCTCATCTTGTCACAGCAACTGTTACTGATGGACAATGACAGGTTCAGGCCAGTAGAAATTACTCCAACTCCAAAAACAAAAAAGATTTTTTTGGTTTCATTAAAATCTAGGCATTTCCATAGGGATGACCTGTGCATGTGAACCTCATCCATCATGCGCCCGTAAGGGGAAAAAGGGCTTAACTCTGCTGGTGCATTAAATTCCGTCACCAGTGAGCAATGCTGAGACCACGTTAGCTTGCCCCCAGCCAAACCGTTTCCCTACATCACTCTGTCATGTAATATCCTACGCTCCCATTGAGCATCAGTGTAAGAAACCCCCCAATGAAGGGATTTTCCTATCTTTTACAAAGCTCTCTATTAAAGACACCATCCCCTTAGTGAGTGTTCTTCATATCAAAAATCCATCTTATAAAAGGATCCATATCTCAAGTTCTTCTCTGAATTTAGAACCAAAAAAAGAAAAGCTCCTCCCCCTGAAGAATGATGTGCCTACTTTCGCCTATCACATTCTTTCTCATCTTTGGCAGCCAGGAAGCTTAGACACTCTCTTCCTACTTCCTTAGGAATGAAATGGGGGTATATAAGTACAACCCATAAGTAATCTCCTTCTTCCTTGGCTGACTTCAACAGTTCTCTCCCAGTTCACGATCTCCTAGACCCTGAAATTCTTCACAATTGACCCTATCTTGTTCAACTTTGCTTCTCTAGCATTTTTGCAGGGAAGGCACGCAGTGTGTCCATGGCTAACTGGATTGTTAGTTGGATCAATTTAATTGATACTAAAGTTTTAGTAACCATCTTAGCTGTTTCAGTTAGGTGACCAGCTCTCTCTGACTTTGTTGTAACAATATCTTGAAAGTGTTTTATTAAGAAATGAACACAAAACTCTTGAAATCAGTTGGGTTATAAGGAAACAAAGGCTTTTGTTTTCATCTTTTTAAAGCCAGGATGAGGGTAAAAGCAATGGGAAGATGTTTCAATATTAACACCAAAAGACAAGACTAAATTACTCAACCTCCTTTGCTTCTATCTCCAAAGAAAAATGATCTAGACACTGGAAAAGAGAGAGGAACCAAGAATAAATGAAATTGAAACCCTCAGTAAGTGAGGGAATAAAAAATGAAGGCATCCTGACACTTGAATTAAGTTTGAATCTTTAGGCCTCCCAAAACTGCACCTTAAAATCTAAAGAAACGTCTAGATATGATATCTGAGCTACTATTACATCTCAGAAATCAGTTAATAGAAGAGGTAACAGAAGACTAGAGATTACAAAAGAAGTCTCGGTTTTCAAAAGAAATGGGTTCTAGACATGAGACTAATAACCCGTTTTCAAATCTACCAATTATTAAACAAATCAAGTAGGATTACAGCAAAGATTCCAATTCCCGTTGGTAGGCATGGGCTCTCAAAGCCCGAAGAACATGAAATACCCGAGAGAACCGCATCTGCGTTTGTGACCCAGCCATTAGACGGGACACGAGGGGACTTAGTTCCATTATCTTCAAGAAAACAAGAGCACCTGATGAGGGGCTCTGAGCCCGAGGTCTGGTCTTAACTCCACATGCTGGTCCTGTGACCCTGAGGGAGAGACAACCTTCCTTTTTGGACTCAAGTTTTCTCATCTAAACTTGAGATTTGGGGACTTAATGGGGAGCAAGTGTCACAGAGCCAAAGAACAGGAGCCCTGAGGTCAGACAGGTACAGATTTCAATCCAGGACCCCAAATGACGTCCCCTCTCTGTGCCTGCTTCCCTTTTTGTAAAGTGGGTACAATGTCTACCTTGGCATTCTTCTGCAGTCTAAATGACAGCATATCGGTAAAGCAGCTAGTAGATGGCAGACATTTAATTGACATTTTATTAATGTTAGTCCCTTCCCCCTAAAGTGTTCTTTCTCTTGGCAGCTCTAAAAACTCAGTGATTCTCAGGGTTGCTGATTAAAAGTCACAGGAAGTTACAGCAACGGCCTTCAGTCAGAGAGGGAGTTAAAGGATTCTCAGGGAGGGTGTAGTTTAGTTGACAGTCCTTATGATGCCTTATTAATAAGAGGTAGAAAGGTGGGCTGGAGTAACCTGCAAAGTTAATGTAAGGCCAGGGTGAGGGTACGTCCTGGTGAGCCTGGGACAGTCCTGGCTTGCACCAGGTGCCCCAGCATCCTGCCCAGATAAACGTGTCCTGGTTTAGATGATAAATTTTAACAGCTAAGGGCCACTATATCCCAGAAACCAAGGTGATCAGGGAGACTCACTGGATTTTCAGCTGGTGAAAGGACTGAAGCCAGGACACTGTCATAAATACATCAGTAGATCAGCTTCAGGACAGTAATTCACGATCTTTCCTTCTCCATTCATTCTCTTTTGCAAAACATTCCCAACTGTAACCTGCAGGCATTTACCCTGAGAGCTTGATACAAGCCCCTGTGGGTGCCAGACCCCCACAAGGAACCTCTGACTAGTGGTACACAAGCTCCTACTCTTGTTCAATGGTTTTCTTAATTACCTGGAGGAAGACACAGTAGGCATGCTTCTTGGTTTTAAAAAAAGATAAAGCTTGCAGGGATAGAAAGTTAACAAAGAGCAAATGACCGAGACTCAAAATTATGCTGTAAACCCAAACAACGGACCAAAAGTCAATCACATAAAATGCAAGGATACACTTAAAGGCATGCATTTAGATTTTTTAAAATTTGCTCAAGGGTGGGATATGGGAAATACAGCTTGACAGCACATTCTGTTGAAAACACCTGGAAGTTTCAGCAGAACACAAACGTAAAAACGGTAGCCGCTAGAAATGCAAACCATCCTCAACAACCATTTCAAAACCAAATTTTAGGCTGAACTAACAGATGCTTGGGTCTGAGACACCGGGAGGCAGGTTCGGGTGAGCTGAAGGAGGCACACCACACATCCGCTCAGCCCTGCCTGGGGCCGGCCCAGGAAGGGCAGAGACCCGGAACCAGTTCAGCTGCGCCAGGGCAGGACGGAAAACTGAAGAGCTGGGTGCTTAGCTCTGAAGAGACCTGTCCGAGGAGGCATGACAGTTTCCTTCAATTATTTCAAAGGATAACCAGAGGCTGATTTTACAAGATTCAACTCTGGATTCCTATATAGAGATCGTTTCTAGTAACTGCTGCTGGCCACACATGCCACGAGCTACCCCATAATGCAGTGAGGCTACCGTCACTGGGGGCACGCCGACAACGGTGACAAGCATCAGGGGCGGTACAAGACGTGGGGTCTTTATAGACTTGGGAGGTGCACCCACTCTCTCTGAGCCAAGAGCTCTCAAATCTACCCCATGCACCACAGATCGAGATGACCCGGGAATCACTTCTTTCTGCAATGATTCTGTTGAAACACTGCTTGGGGTGGGCCGCGCCTTAAGACACCATCTGCTTTCTCCTTAAAGGGGGTGACAGTGCCGTGAGGGAAATGAGTTGCAGAGCAGCACATCCTCAGGCCACGGGCATGGGGTGGAGGAGAGAGATCTGCTCTGAGCTGAGTGAAGCCCGGGGGCCCCTCACCTGAGTGCCCGCATTGGGCAGCTTAATATTCTCGGTGGCAGCAGTTACATCAATGGAAGCCCGCACGAGGATGTCCAGGTAGTTCATCTTGGAGTACTCCTGTCGGAGACGAAGTTAGTGAAAGCATTAGTGAAGAGGGAAATGTCCTGGGAGGTGGCAGACAACCTGAGGGGCACAGCCCGGCAGCGAAGCCCACCTCCAGAAACGTGCTGTTCCAGAGCCTCGAGCGCAGGACCACGGAGGCCTTGCTATCCAGCCCTCGGATCGGGCACTTGATATTCACACAGTTCACGTTCACGCTGCAGTTCTGGGGAGAAAAGGAAGAGCAGGGGTTACGGCGCAGTGGTCTGGGGAAGGCCTTCCCGCCACCTCCTGTCAAACACTCACAGCTCTTGAAAAATACTTACGAGGGTCTGGTATTTTCTTTCGGCAAATAAAGAAAGTTTTCTACCATCGTCTGTCTGTCTTTCAGCAATTTCTCGTTTCTTTCTTGAGTTGTGAGCCTCCTGAAAAGAATTACATCCAAAAGTAGTTCCACCTAAGGTAATTTTTTGGTACTACTGTACAAACCTCTTGAGCTCTCCCTCCCCAAACAGTGCCAAATTCACATGACTGACAATTAATCTTCACCCTTCTCCCATCACCAAAGGCGCAGAAATAATTTAAGTGTAAAATCCACCAGCCTACCTTTAGTTTCAGGAAGTTTATTTCATTTTGTGGCTGACAAGCTATCTTTTCCAATCCTTTGGATTCTACTTTCACCAAATAAAGCAACCATTTGCCATTGCTAACTTCTTTTGGCCACTGGATATTCAAGGTTGCTGTGCCGAGGTTTTTAAGAGGCTTGCCCAAGTTAATCACCTGTTAGAAAATAATACGTTATTATCTCAGTGTAATTCCCTCAACATAAAATTAAGTAAGCAGTTCCTATTGCCAAGAGAAAAAAAGCCAAAGTATCTGGCATAATACTACAATGAAAGCACAGTTTCCAAAACTGGATTATGGATAGGGCATTCAAAATAGAGATTTGTGCTTAAAGATTCCTGTCAATAAAAATAGAAAGAAAAGAGAGATCAAAGAGAAATAATCGTTCATTCAATCCAGGAACAAGTTTTGTTGTAACAGAATCTGCAGTGTAGATATGCCAGGCTCTCAACAGACCCAGGAGAAAGTCACATGTGTGTTTGTGTATCGCTCTGTAACCACACTGCCTGGCAGATGACCAAGCCTGTGTGGTGGCAGTGCACCCACAACCTGCTTCTGGGAAGCCCCACCTGCTGCAAAAATGAAGCTGCCCCCGTCCTTACTATGCAGGGGAGGCTTGGGATAACAACTGACAGACCCGGAGTAGGACCCTTCTGGCAGCCAGGAACCCACGAGTGCAAGCTGGGGGCAGGCAGGGAGCAACTCCCTGCAGCAGAAATCGAAAGAGTTTCCGTGGAGGACTGCTCCGGAACCCACAGACCTCTCCTTCAGCCACATCTGCCTAGGTGCCATGACCACCACCCACTACCTGTCCCATCCATGTCTGCAGAGCTAAGAGATGCTTTCAGAGGAGAATTCTGCCTCTTCACCTTGTTGCAGTCACCGGTGGGCCCATTCTTGCTACTTCAGACTTTCACACTTCAACAACGGTCACTGTGTTTTCAGGAGCATGACTGCAGACACACAGACCTCAACCTGCCTATGACTTAGGAGCCACCTCTGTACCATGAGAATATGTTCATTCAACGGGACCAAGAGCCACTGGGATTGCCTACTTTGAAATGGGTCAGAGCAACCACTAGTCTTCCTTACTGGCATATGCCAAACCCACATTCACCATCACAAAACCGGGCTTGGGCAAGGTCGTGAACATTAACCACAAGCAATAAGACAGAGGACCTTATAATAGAGAAAGAAATAAATCATAACACATTCTAAAGCCAGATAGAAATTACCTTGAGATTTTTGTTTTATAGACAGACTCTGGAGGGGGAAAAATCGATTCTTCCTTTCTCTCTACACCAAACTCCAACTCTCTAGGACCAAACTGAACTGGATTCTGAACAGAATCTTATGTTGAATGACAGTTGTGGTTCTCCATTCTGGAAACTATGACTTTTACACTAAGCCAGTATGGTGTTTAAAAGCTGGCAAACTCACTTTATCATGTGTATTTATTATTATTTATTAAAATTACATATTCAAGACCATATACAGCACATGTTAGCTTTCAGTACATAGAACAGAAGGGCCAACTGCGGCCACTTACCCTGAACTCATACTCAATTAAACTTCCCACTTCCTCTTCAGATTTCATAGCTTGCTCACCAATGACTGTACCTCCAAAATACACCTGGGAAGGTTTAGCAACTCTGTTAAATTAAAAAACACCAGTTTTAGTGAGGATTGTAAAGGGTTCTTTCAAACACTGATTTGTTGTGCTAAACACAAACACTTACCCGGAGACCGATAAAAGCAGTTCAATAACCACTCTTGCTGTAGCTGTAATTGAAGCCAAATTATCCTGATTGCTTGTTCTGAAAATGAAAAGGAAACAATAGGGTTTTATTTTAACAGTCAGTTTTCTCATTAAATTACACTTCTTTTATGCTTTAGATAAAGGCCAATTCATTGACTGGCTGTGTTTTCATGAAACAATTCTGAATGGAAGGTTGAAAGAACTCTTACGTTTCCAACTTCAGATTAATATCCAGATCTGTGGTGTCAAAGGTGATCTCAGTTGTACTTAAAATTAAATAAAAAGTAACCTAAAAAACGGAAATAGCTGTTAACACAGACTGAGCATATCGACACTGTAATGTTATTTGAAACATTAAAATACAGTATGTAAAGGCATCACCTACACTGGAATTTCTTTTAAAAGGATTCCCAAGCTCGCAGTCTGCTTGTGAGCCGTTCTGGTTTGCAACACAACTCAACTGTTTCTCCTGTAACAGAAGAACATACCAGATCACAACACATTCACCTGCCACACAATGTTTTTTCCGTCCAACATGGTCTCCAGAAATACTTACAGGGAAAGCCCTCAGTTCTCTATATGCAGAATAAGTCAAAGTGTCTGGAAAAGTGGCAACGAGTTTAGCTTCATGAGCGTCATCACCATCTTTGGTGGGATTCTTTGGGTTGGAAGGGCTGTTTGTCACTGTTATTTCTAAAGCAATGTCCTTCTGATCTTTTAGAACTAGTTCTGGTACACCTTTTTGACTATTGGAAAAAAAAAGGAAAATGACAAAGTTCTCAACACATTTTCAATAACCCTTCACAAAAAGTCACTGCAAAGCCAGAGTCATTTTTGCTAGTGCTATGGAGCAATTCTTACATTGGTAAATAAGAAAATTTGTCTTGATTTCCTTCTCGGGTACAAAATTTATATTCTAGCTTAAGGTTGCTGTTACATACATTGTCGTCTCCACATCCCTCTTTTAAGAAGTGTACCTGTAGGAAAACAAAATCGTTGTAATTTACATCACTTAGGACTCTGAATAGGTGACTGTTTCCATACAGTTCATTTCCCTGTGTGACAATTACGACAGCAGAATCCAAGCTACAAACATACTTTGCATCAAACGCCCACTCTGTCCTTTAATGAAACTGTGTTTTCAGAACACTCTGGCCAGGGCACTGAGGTGCTGTAGGAGAGTAAACAGTAAACCTGGCTCTGCTGCTCACTCAGTTGTATGGCTTTGGGCGAGTCACTTAACCTTTCAGAGTCTAAGTTTCATCACAGGTGACATGGGATACCACCTCCCTACTATACAGGGTTACTGAAAGAATTACCAATAATCATGACAGTGCTACCTAACACATGATTACATATTTTAACTCATGTAATCCTCACAAGGGACCTATGAGGCATACACTATTCAGAGCCCCATTGCACAGATGGGGAAACAGAGTTCAAGGTCAGGAAAGCAAAGGGCAGAGTATCTTGCACTGTGCTAAGGGGTGCTCAATAATCACACTGATAAATAATTAGGAAAACGGTCTCCTTGCTTGTCACGTTTAACGTGACTATGGAGCTGGCAATATATACAAGAAATATTAATGTGACTATGACACTGAGAGTATATTGAAAAGTATACAAGGAACTATGCTTGATGACAATAAACTACAATGTGCAGATTTAGGCATCAGCCCCCAAGCCTAACTCACTCGTGAAAACCTTCGTCAGTGAGCCATTAGAACCAGGTGCCTCAGAGTGGACACTCCAGTATGAACTAGATTTTGACAACAAGTACAAAACGTCAAATCAAGATGTCACCACTCCCCAACCTAATCTGGCACCTCAGCCATCCTAAACCCTAGCAAACAGACCGCACCTCATAAGTGGTATACAGCAAGCCATCCGATATAAATTTTTCTTCCTAAGATTACAGAGGCTACATTAGGCACTAAATGACTATCTCACTGTTAATACATTTTTGCCTTGCTGAATTTTGATACTCCTTGATTTTAACGTTCAGACTAACAACAGTTTCTTTTCTACATTTTAATGCTCTCAGTGGTAAAATACAATGCATTTTTCTTCCTACGTACAGCTACAGGAGAAACTTGATGTGAGAATAATAAGTTCTGTCAATTATAGTCTCAATAAGTTGCAGTGGCCAAAAATCATTAAGAAAAATATTCTCTGGCTCCAAATTGTACCCTGTATGTTCACTGCTAATTTGGGAAACATTTTCTGCAACAAAACTTGCATATATTAAAAAGCTTATTTACTGCAAAGGAATGGCCTTTAGAGTAAATCAATCACTGGTTCTATTGCCTTCAGAGATGTCTGATTTAGCACAATAACATGGCAAACAATTGGCAAAATGAAAGTCAGAAAGACTTACATCTGTATGAACAGACTTGGGTTCGTTTGAATTCAGAATTGGAAGAACTTCTGGAAGCGAATTCACTCGCCTCCGAGTGCTCGGCTCTTGGATCTCTACTGAAGCTGTTATGGGGATGGGACGCAGTTTATCTCTGATATTTTCCTGGAAAGTATGCAGAGATACAGTTAAGCATGCTATACTTGCTGCTGGGGAGCTCCAAAACAATGCTTTCCTTTGTACTGGAAAATGGGTTGCTGGTATAAATGTCAGAAATCTCCACGTCACCCTTTAAAAGATCTGTCTGCAGCCCTCACCTGGAGCCACAGGGTTTCCTCCATGCACACCTTCTGCTTCTGCCGGCTCAGAGTGAGCGCCTGCGTATACTTGGGCTCAGAACCTTGGTTTCGAAACTGAACTCTTGATGACAGCCCAGATTTTCTTCTTTCCTTCTCAGCCTCCAGTGTGCCCGCAATGGCTAGGTGAAATCAACAAAATCATGGCAACTCAGAAGTGCATTCATACACAAGGCAGCTGTAAGTATGGTGAGTCCCTTTTTGATATATTTTAATCCCTCCTAGAACACTTGTTCCCACTGCCATTGTTTTCCTTCATATTTCCTGGTAATGTACATTCTGACTGAATTATGATGTTTCAAATCAAGCTGTTCTCTCCTACCCATTGCTGTGAACAATGTTTTAAAGCTACACTTCCATTGGGCCACCTGGGGGAGCTCGAGAGTAAGTCAAAACCTCAGAGCAGCATCTAAGAATCAGTTTCTGACTGTTTCTAGAACTCAGAGTACCTCAGACAACAGGAGGGCAGCCAACACTCCCTAAGTGCCTAAACTGACTCCCCCTTCAACAGTCCGATGCTTAAATTCAAAAATGTTCTCTAGATCAGCAGCAGGGACTTCTCCTGAGTTGTGTCAGGAATGCAGAACCTTGGGCCCCAGCCAGACCTACTTAACCCAAATCTGCATTTTAACAAGATCATCAGGTGGTTCTTATACACATTAAAGTTTAAGAAGCTTTGATAAAGGATAGTTGTCTAAAAGAGGAACAATATATATATTAGAGATGGAGATGTCTTTTGACAATAGGATGAGACTTTTCACTTAAAAAAGAAAAAGAATTAAAAGGTAAAATATACTTCCTTTCAGGAGCTAGAGGGCCCGTTTGTTAGCTAATAAAACTCCGACAACCAAAGTTTCCACTTCCAAAGCCCCAGAAGGCACATCCTGCTTGCGATTACCTACAACACTAACAGAGCTTGGAGACAAGCTAGGGTTTGGATGATCAAAATCTCACTTCTTGACTTCAGAATGCATTCTTTGCCAGTTCGCTATATGTAGCTGCTAACTCTGACTCTGTTTGTTTATGGGCCAATACTTAAATGACTTACATTTATTAATCACTCACTAGCCATCAGAAGAGGAAGTGAACCAGTGTGTACAGGGCCAGGGCAGGTAGCTTCAAGGAAAAAAATCTGCTCCAGAAAGTGAATAACCCATGTTCTAATATTCACATTAGAGTTTGGAAGAGACCTTTTTAAGAGCATCTATTTTAATTCCCTCTTCTTACACATGAAGAACTGGAGGCCCACAGAGCTAGGTGGCTGGCCCAGGGACCTACAGTGAGGGGTGGAGGCAACTCCTAAAGTCTCTGTCATAAACACAAAAGACGACTGCCTTACAAAGCCTCTTAGACATGCAGGTTCCCACTTCCCCTAGGCCTCTGCGCAAGTCACTCTCCCCTTCTGCCGGCTGGACCACCCCCTACTTTTTGACTCTCCGTCACTGGCTGACTAACCCTACTCCTCCTTCAGATCTCAGCGTGGACATCGCTTCCTCTAGGAAGCCTCTCCTCACCCCCGATGGGGGTCCGACAGTATTCCTCCCATAACCACATTTAGCCGGCTGAGCTGTGACTGCCTGACCACCTTCCCAGGCAAAGCCGTGCCAGGGACCACCTCGGTCGGTTCACCACCGTACTCCCCGGCAACAACAGAACACCTGCCATAAATATAATTGGTAGAATAGATGAACAGAAGCATACATGCCAACATACAGCCAATGCACATTTGCGCACACACAATGTGACGTTATCCTTATGCTGAAACAATAGCTGTTCCAATATGGAAGGCCAAAATTTAGAAATGACAGTTTCAATAGTAATTTCTGTGTCCATCTAAAGAATTCTTAAATGTCACGGCTGCCAAATGGAATGTGCCTCCATTTTAGGCCCTCTGTGAACCTTGACATCATCCATTTATCAGTGACCTGCTAACTTCACAATGAACCAGACGAAGGCTCACATGCTGAGTGCCCCTCACAGCAAAAGCAGGGGAGGGTGTGGGTGCATTAAAACCGTTTATCTACCAAACCCACTCTAACCTTTTCTGACCCTCCAGACAGTTCACATCATCTTAAAATCCTTGCCGGCCACCTTTGCTGACCTTTTGAGGGGCAAGCCAAGTAGAATAGTCATTAAGGCTCAATTATAAATATCTGTACGTATGGAACACCACATCTGAGGACTGCCGAGTTAAAACAGCCTAGTCAAACAATAAGCTCACACTCTCTGACACTGGGAACACAGATTTTAAAGGTATTAACTTCTGCAGCTTTGTGCAAGTTCTGCTGTATTTGATTCAGAATTTCCCAAGACCGTGGAAGCAAAGGCAATGAAAACAGGTTTTCTCTCAATGTCTTCAGAAAAAAAAGTTCTATCTATAGTAGGCCATCCATGAACACTTGGTTAATGGAGTAGTTACAGAATATAAAATTAATTTACATGGCATCAAGTGCAGCATTAAAGCTAGAAGGAAGTTTGTAATTTATTTTGTATAAATGATTGATCTGGGGGAAGACACGGAGTGTTCCGGTGAGATTTCACATCTACAGGCAAACAGAGTGGTTTGAGAACATGACCAATAGAATAAAAAACATGTCTCCATTTCCTCTCCTTGCCCAAAGAATCACTGTTTCTCCTGGTCTCTCTAGGCTACTTCCAAACACAATGGTACAAGGCCCATCACCCAAGCCAGCAAGTGTAAGGCACTGTATTTGGGTAAAAACAACACAAACTACACTGAGAGGATGACAGACTGTGAGAAATCATAAAATATGTCGTCACTGAAAGCCACACAAAAAACCGATTTTCTGTACTCAATAAAATACCAGCTACATCAAAAGTAAAGTGAGGGCTTCCCTGGTGGCGCGGTGGTTGAGAGTCCGCCTGCCGATGCAGGGGACACAGGTTCGTGTCCCGGTCCGGGAGGATCCCGCATGCCGCGGAGCGGCTGGGCCCGTGAGCCGTGGCCGCTGGTTCTGCGCGTCTGGGGCCTGTGCTCCGCGGCGGGAGGGGCCGCAACAGTGAGGGGCCCGCGTACCACCAAAAAAAAAAAAAAAAAAAAGTAAAGTGAAAGGCCACAGCTCCTCTGGTGTAGAAAGTCCTAATACACACATACCGTGCACACTCCATGTCAGGTCCACAGATCCTGTGGGGAGACCGTACAGCAGGAGGTGGCCCAGAAGAAGGGGCCTAAAAAGGTCAAACAGATGAAGAAACCACCTGAGGACAGTTTAAAATCTGGTAAGATGAAGGCCAAGTGGGCCTATGACAGCATGGATTGGGTGAAGGCCGACTTAGCTGTCAAATTCTGGGGTGTTATAAAGGGACATTTTTTAATAAAGAAAAGAAAGTAATACTTTAGGTAACACGTACAAACCCTAAGAGAACTCACTCCATCTCAAGGTAGAGTAAAAACTGAAAGCCATGAGAATAGACCACCCTGTCCTTCCAGAAAGCTTCTCCTGGGGGCATTGCCGGCCGCACTAAAATACCAAGCTGCCGGGACCACGGCCGACCCAGGAAGGAAATCACCCTCACTCCGTACTTCCTCTTTGGGGAAAAGATTTTCTTTAAATTCCTAGGCCCCCAACTTCACTCTGGCTTACTCCTGAAGAGGTACAGCTGCTACTAAAACATATCAGACAAGGCCTAGGTGATCATCACTACTGTGAGAGTATCATTAAAAATTTGTCAAACTTTGTGGCAAAACTCCTATTCGGGTTATAAAGAAAGGAAGCGGACTAGACCTTAAAAATGACAACCTGCTTTCCCCACCTTATCTCATTCGCTCTCCACCACAATCCTATGTAGTAATTCCTATCAGAAGCTTTTTTTTTTTTTTTAAACTGATAGGAAAATAAAAACTCAAACGTTAAGGGACTTGCTCTGTGTTGAAGGGTCAGTCAGCATCGGTGCTGGAACCAGGAGCAGGTCCCAAGTCTCTGAGTTCTCAAGGCCGGCCTTCACGTTCCCCCAGGGCCCACCCTTGGGGACACAGCTTGGGTGATGTGGGCCACGGAGGCCTCTGGGAGGGGACCGGGCAGCAGAGAGACTATAAACTGGCAGTTATTAGAGCAGGACACGGGCTCCTGCGGTCACTCTTCTACAGCTACCACCCGCCACCTCACAAGTACAAAACCAATTTTCCACACTGCTTTTCAAAGACAGAAATGGAGGAAACGGTTGTGGAAGCAAATGAGTACTTTTCCAAGGCATGCATTCCGTCCCACGTCATCTGCTCTGGAAACTTCAAATGGGGACCAAATGCAGTTTCCCCCTTGGGCTCCACCCTCCTGATTAAAGAGGAGACAACAGATAGACTTAGTTCTTTAAACCAGAATTTATGGACCCATTCTGGCCATTACAGTTTTTTATTCTTCTATTATTTATGCAACTTTCAACCTGGCAGACAGAAAAGATATAATTTTAAAAGTACCAGGTACTTACTTATTGAAGGGTTGTAACCAGTGGGTTTGGCAGTATATTCAAAACAGGCCTTGACCTTCAGGCTGTATAAAATCAAACACATATTTCTTAAGAGATGCATTATTGCCCTAGAAAAAAATCCCAACACGTTCCCCAGCCCTGAAATCCCCCCAGTGACGACTCGTGAGTAAAATGTTATATATTCACTTGACAGATTCCTCTTCCCTTTGCCCATTTCTCTTAATCTTCCCTGTGGCTCCTCAGGGTAACAGGGCCATCATCAAGCAGAGACGTGACACTGGGGGAAGAGTGGACACAGCACAAACGCTCACCATATCCCGCTAGGCGCCCCGCAGGGCATTTTCTGATGGAGATCAATTCTGTTAGGTGTAACTGTGATGGTTTGCTGAATATTAATCACAGGCCGGGATCTGAAGACAAAGGAGTGAAAAAACAAGCTCAGCCCTTTGCTACTTGGAGGTAAGATGAACTCACATACTAGATAGGCATCCTCAGATGTGGCATCTTAAAAACCACAGGGAAAAAAATGTTCCCCAATGTGATTTCTGCTCCCACACTGCTAAATAAAACAACTGTTAACAGAGATAATTTAAAACCTGTTTACACGATATTTATAAAAGTATTTAAATATGGTTTATTTAAAATTATAGATTGTTTTAATGATTTTAATATTAGAGTTTTTTTAAACTGAAAGAATAATATGGGCAACATGTAAAAGTTCCAGAGTTTTCAGGCAAATACGTCTCGTCCCCACCTAAACCCCTAAGGAGACTTGCATGCCCTTCCAGACGTTATCAGTCAAAAATATTATCTAAAATTAAATATAATAACATGCATCTATTTTTTAAGTGGGAGCTTTTCATGCTTATCGCTCTGCATGTTACTTTTTCTCATGCACTAACATTTTAGAGGTCTTCTCATATCTATACACACAAACCTAGTTGTTCTTCACAGCTGGTGGTGTTGCATGTGTCAACATAACATCATTTATTTAACCAGTCCTTAATCAGCAGACACTGATAATTTTTTTAAGGCTTTCTGCTCTGACAGACATCCTTGCATATACATCCATGCACATGTATGCGTCCTAAATACATACATCTATTTATCTGTAGGATTAAACTCCTAGGCAGAATTTCTGAGTCAAAGAACACATGCATCTTTAATTCTGAGTAATCTTGCCGAAAAAAGATTACACCAACATACACCTAACACCTGGGGTGCTCGCTGTCAGGATTTCTACACGCATGTGAATTTTAGTAATCCAGGCAAATCCTGAACTTACGGGTCCCCACCTTACAAACATGTGCCCTTCCTATCCTCCCTCGGAATCTCCCACCCCCAACCTTAAGCCTTTGTCCACCTGCTGCCAGTATTGACTACAGCTTTTCTACCCGCACAATATCTCTACAAGCAAAACCTTGAATCCTTTATCCTTTCCCCTCTCTGCTCTGCCTAACCCAACCTCACAAGCACACAAGAAGCTGAGTCCCACAACTTTAGCCCTTCTCACCATGTAAAAACATCATCTTTCTCCCTTACGTATTCTTCCCTACTTCTCACAGCCAAGGGGTCACCAAGGGCCTACGGCTTAACCCCTGCCCCAGAGGCAGGGAAGTACAAGTGTGTGGTGGCTGGGGAGACAGCGCACCTCTCTGCTCCTTCGCTCTCCAGCATGGACTCAGAGCAGGTTCTATTGCTCCACTACCACAGGGATTCAGTCACCCTGACTTTAGTGGGTTTGTGGTAAACCCAGCCATTCTGGAGAACAGTGTTTCAACAAGAAAATGTATCCAAATTCCAAACAGCTACTTTGAACTTCTGGAATCCATCTATCAGTAGGCCAGAGAGGTTTTGAGTACCTTCCTGGGGAAGCCAGGAGCCAATTAAAGGGCAAATGCTGCCTACATTTTGTTTCTTCATTTCCCTTTATCTTAACTGTCTACCTTTCTATTGTTATTTTACATTTAGACAGCTACTAATTTCTAAGATCCTAACTACAAGCATACTTCGGAGATACTACAGGTTTGGTTCCAGACCACGGCAACAAAGCAAAAGGATTGCAATAAAGGAGTCACTTGAATTTTTTGGTTTCCTAGTGCATATAAAAGTTATGTTTACACTATACTGTAATCTATTAAGTTGCAATGGCATGATGTCTTAAAAAAACAATGTACATGCCTTAATTAAAAAATACTTTACTAGCAGAGCAGCTCCCTCGCTGCGATCTATTCAAAGTCAGCCCTCAACACAAGGGTTTGTAGAAAAAGAAAGAAGAGAAAAAAAAAAGAAAAAAAGAAAACCTTTATTGCAGAAAAAAAAAAAAAAAAAAAAAAAAAAAAAAAAAAGCTTTTTTAAAAAAAAAAAAAAAAAAAATGCTAACCAGCATCTGGGTCTTCAGGAAGTCGTAGCAATAATATCAAAGATCAACCATAATGAAAATAATAATAATGAAAAAGTTTAAAATGTTGCAAGAACTACCAAAATGTGACACAGAGACATGAAGTGAACAAATGATATTAGAAAAATGGCACCTCACCACAAACCTTCAATTTGTTAAAAAAAAAAAAAAAAAACCAAGAACACAGTATCTGTGAAGCGCAATAAAGCAAAGTACTATAAAACGAAGTACGCCTGTAGATATGTTCTTAAAGTTTTGAGAGCATATTTAAAAGGCAAAATTTCACAAATATTTTAAAGCCAGTTGCTACAGATGCTAGAGTGCTTTACATACAATAGTATTAAGGCTTTAGTGCGTCATAAATTTCAAAAGGAACTATTTTAACACATACTTCTGCCTAAATCCTATTTTTATTTCTGTTTTTAAATACACAACATACACACACAATTTTGAGTGCACATTATATATGAATCATAAAAAATGTCTTAACACATAAAGCAAATCTTATGGCTCAGCTGTCTCATGTTTAATTAGCATTTATTTATTAAGTACCCTGAAGTACTAGTATAATTTAGTGGGGAGAAATGCCCAGGGACTGAAGTTAGGAAGATTTAGGTACCACGCCCTGTTCTCACAGGATCCAGCCTTAAAAGTTCAAGCAAGTCCTGGGCCTCCATTTTCCTTGTTTGTAAAATAAGGGAGTTATCTTATTTCTTATTATCTTATTATCAAAGGCTTTTGAAATTTACTTTCATACTATCTATGAGGAATGAAGGAACACATTTACAGGGTTCATAGTCAACCTACTTATGAGGACGGGAAAGTAAGGATATTAAAATATCAATTACATACAAAGGCAAATATTTAATTGGCTAAAGTCAGGTTATCTGCTGGGAAAGACGTCGTAACCAAATTTTGTTACAGAAATTCAAGTCTTCTTGACACCTGAGGTCTATACCTCAAACTAGAACTAGAAGTTCAAATTGCTTTCTGATGGAAACTTGCTAAAATACTTGAATGTTATGCTACTCTTCCACCTTTTAAAAATGTTGACTATTTTAAGGTTAACACCTAACACTTATATGTACAGAGAGAAACAGGCATATAAAGGTAGTAACACACATTCATTCAGTTAACTACATTTTTTTTTTTTTTTTTTTTACTTCTTCCTTTGGCCTAATATCCCAGATACATTTTTCTCCACTTATTTTCACATCTCCTACTTTTGTCATCTGTAACGGCTCTTGTGGTTCTTAGTTTTCATATAAAATGGCTTTCATAGATCTTGCCATTTAACTAGAAAACTATTTTTCTATAGTATTCTATACTACATTGTATAAACGTACAGTATATTCTAGTTTTTTTAAATAGCGTTCTCTTCAGAAGTGTCCTGGTGTTGTTTTCTTACCCCCGGGGGTCTTGCTTAGGATTCTATTTAGACACAGAGGCCACATCTACACTTGCACCCTTCTGGAAGAACAAAGGGCAATGATGGCACCAAGTGTACACATGGCACAGATTTTTTTCTTTTAGGGTTTCATTGTACATCACTGCCTATTTCTTTAAAGACATTCTTTAGATAAAAATGACTATAAAGCCAAATAGTTTAAGAAAACAAACCCAAATGGCTCACTCTCACCAATGAGCAAAGAAATACAAATTCAATCAAAAGATGAGATCACATATCACACTGGCAAAAATTAAATAGATTCATCCTGTTCAATGTTGGTAAGGGTGTGAGAAAATGGGCCCTCTAGTAGGTTGTTACTGTGAGCATAAATTGCTACCAGTTTTCTGTGGGTATATGTATTAATACAAAAATGTGCTAACCTTATCCCAGCAATTCTATTTCTAGGAATTTTTCTTTAAAAAAAATCCATTACACAGAGATACATACAATATACTATATAGCACACTGTTTATAATAGCTAAAAGTCAAAGACTGTCTAAAAATTCCATCAACTGAGGATTCATTAAATGCATATTATGGAATAATATTAAGTTGTTAGAAAGAGTAAGATTGATGTATCTGCATTAACAAGGAGAGATAACTGAAGAGATTAATTTTTAAAAACCAGAAACAGAGAACAGCAGTTATAGTATGGCCTTTTGATGATACCCTAGAACTGGAGAGAGACTCAAAACTATTAAAAGCTGTTTCGTGGAAGAAGAGAATATTGGGGAACTTGCACTTAACTGAAATTCTGTATTAACCTTATTTTTTTTTTTTAAAATAATGTGCTACTTTTTAAATAATAAAAAATTTATTTATCAATTTTTCCCGGTGATTTCCAGCAGTGATGGAATTGCTGGGATAAGGGGACTCAGACACAGCTGATGGGCACACTGTTGCAGCCTTTCTGGAGGTCATTTCACTTGTGAACCTGAATCACAAGTCCTAAAACACACATGGCCCTTCAACTTAGCAACTCACTTTTAGGAATTTATCATAAGGAAATAATCCAGGACACAAAGAAAATTAAGGATGTTGACCACAGCTTTGTGTATCATAATAGGAGCAAACAAACAAACCTGGAAAGCAACATAAATGTGTCCAATGACAGTATGGCAGTGGTTAAGTAAACTATGATCCAGCCATGGGATATCTCAGACAACCATTAACTTCATTTCAGAAAAGTACTCAATGACAGGGCGATAGCCCACTATGCATTATAAACTCACTCATGGAAAAAGGCCACTATACGTTACAAACCAACAAAAGCAGGTTACAATACAATATGTACATTATGATCTCAATTTTGTTAAACATATGTGTATATTCAAAGAAGATTAAAAACTAGAAGGATATAAACCAAAATTTTGGAGTTTCATAATGGACGGTGAAATATAGGACATTTATTTCCTTCTTTATATTCTTTATACTGTCAAATTTTCTGTTTCAGTTTTTATGAAAATAAAGGTTTTTGAAATATATCCAAAAGTAAAAATTTTCCACCAATTCTGACCTTTTTAAAAAAATTAGTTCAAAATTACAGCAAGACTTTACAAAATAGGTTTTTTATTACATCATTACACTACTCTGAAGAGAAAAAGAATATTCAAAATTCATACAAGCCTTTGCCTTTGAAGTATAGTTGTTAACAAATTTCAATTCAAAAGGTAAAAAAAATTCTAGTGTAAGCGGATTACCAAACATACTTTAAGTCAGAGATTACACACCTGAAAATAGTTACTGAATCTGAGAGGGAACCAACAGCAACATCGGGGTAGGAATTTCTATCAAGGTCCATGTTTCCGGCAATTGAATATCCAAAAAACGGTGATTTACCCTCGAGAATCTGAAAGGAACAGGGCATCAGAATGGACACTGGGCCACCAAAATGAGCCTCTTATCCGTGCGTTGAAAAAGGCACGTAAGTCTCTTTTGAACTGAAGATTAAGGGGTTACTTATAAATTACATTAAATCAAAACTAAATCATAAATAAGTACACATATGATCCAACACTTCATACATTTTAGTTCATAAAAGTTATCTGATTTATGTTGTACCTCAAAAGACAAAAGAGACAATTTTTGATGAGCTTGTGTACTGTACTAAGTTGATCAGTGTATTTCAAACCAAACCTCTCTACCTGCCCTCCACAAATGTCTTGTTTTTCTCAAAAGCAATTTTTAGTTTTTAGTATCTAAATTCTATGCAATTACAATCATCTCTTATGTTCGTCCAGTTTCATCTCTATTTAGTATGCTACTAAAAGGAATATATCACATTTCCATCTATTTATGCTGTCAGGGTAGAATAGTCTTTTCCTTTGGCTTACTTTGATTCCTAATTCACCAAAGAAATTTTACAATTTAAAACAACCAGGTCATTGCATTTATATCTATTTACAAGCTATCTTCTAATAATACATTTTTTATAAAAACAAAATTCATACTATTGTAGACTTGTAAATAAAACATGATTAGTGTGAAAATTCACATAAACCTAAACATTCCATTAGAAAGCAAACTGTTGAGACCTTTGTTGTAGAAATCCAGGTTATCTGGTTACCTGTGTTGGTTTGGTATTTATTCCGTTCGCAGATCCGTGATAGATAAAAACCTTCCCCTTACCATCGTAGGGTGCTCCGACTGCAATATCTGTTGACAACGCCACATTTTAACAAACATTAAATTTTAAAAGCATTCCAATACAATGTTTTAAAATAAGATGCCATGAGCACTATTTTAGACAATCAAATAATCTATAAATCATGACCAATTCATAATCTATTGTCTACCTGGGTAGCCATCTTGATTAATATCACCGATATTTTTGACCGCAATGCCAAACATAGAATCTTTGGTTCCATTAAGACGAATTGGCTTGACATTATTCCATCTGCCTTGCTGGTTAATGTAGACATATGCTGCACCTCCAACTTCTCCACTTCTATCAAAATACTGTGGGGCTCCAATAACTATATCTTGCCACCTGAAAACATAATGAGGGGAAGAACTGTGAACCATTGGCTAAAATACCAGCGAGCATAGGGAGAATCCCACATGCCCAGGTATTAAGGACACAAAGAGATATGATAAAAGGACCTCAAATCTGGAATTTATATATCATCAATTAAAGTATTTTTTAAAAACCAAGGCAGCCTCTAATAAACACCCAAAGAAAAATATCAAGGGTAAGAACTTAAAGCCAGTTCCCAAGTTACATCTATAGTGCGCAAACTCCCAGTAAAGATTCCACTCCCCTCCACCTTCATCTCTCTACGAGACCCAAACTGGCACCACCACCACCAGCCACAGAGACCTTTGTATTGACTTTGTCACCAATCCCTAGTTTCAACAGGACATTCTGGATGCTCCAACAGCCCCTCAAGAAACCAGAGAACAGAACCTCGTAGGTGGTTTTTTTTTTTTTTTTTTTTTTTTTGAGTTAAAGTTTAATTCTCACGGACCCATGATCCCAGCACATAGTAAAACTGAAAACTGAAAATGTAATCCTACCCGCTGGGGAGGGTAATGGATGCCTACTGCCAAAATATAAGTGAGGAAGAGTGATGGAATGGTAAAAACCTGGCAGCAGAAATATTTTTTCCATCAACTAACCTGAAAGGATATTTCTTCTCAAGACCTACAGAAGCCAAAGCAGCAATGAATTCTTTGCACATATAAAATAACCTAAGAGGTTCTTACCCATCTTTGTTAAGGTCCACCACTGCCACGTCATAGCCAAATGAAGAAGCCAGCCCTTCCCCGTCAAATATGTGCTCAGGGAGAAGGTGCGCAGACTTCAGGTCTCTTTTAAGCAAAACCACAGCTCCACTGTGATTGGCTCTAGGAGCACCAGATACAAAAGTGATCTCATCTTTGGAAACAATACCCTTCCCTGAGTCCAAAGAAAACCCTAGAAAAACAAAACAGTACATATCAACTCTGTTTTTTAGGAGGTATATAACACTGGTTACTCCCACCACTCTCCTCTGACCCTCCCCACCAGCTGTCACATCTACGATAAGAAAGAGTCACAGAGCCAACAGATGTGACACAAGTACAAAGTAGTAGGCTACTGCATTGCTTTCTATGGGAATGTATTAAGACTTTTAAAGAAAAGCACCTATACTATTTGGCATCTGTGTAACTTGAATCATGAAGCATTCATGCATCTTAAGAATCAGTTTGAACCCCATTTTAATACTGAAACTGCTGTAAAAGGAGATCAAGCTAGATACTAAATTATCATGGGAAAGTTACATACTATATACTGAGATACAACCTGACATAGTGTAATTGAGTGCATGTTATAGGGTTTTGCTATAATGTAGTAGTTAGTAACTTCTGTACTCAACCTCCTTGGTCGTCAGGCAAGAATAAGAATGCTAACAACATTAATATACCACAGACAGCGTTTCACTATTTGGGGTCAACTCAGTTCTCAGACACAAACATGCAAACAAAACCATGATTGATGACCTAGTGTTTGAGAACCTGGTATAAACAATAGAGGTGAGCAAGTTGCCATCTGTATCAATTACATACTTGTTCAGAGGGCAGAAAAACGGTAGAACACCTCACCATAAAGCGTCAGGTAGGATGTCAGATTACCAATATTGAAGTTAAATGGCAAGCAAACACAAACGCCCATATCAAAATCATTCAAATTAAGCCAATCTTCCTATGTAAAGGCGAGGCAGATGCAGAATACTATAAGCTCACCCTTTTTATTGGGTTTTATTTACAAAAAGCTTCACCACTACTGTTGCAGTTCTCAAATTGTGAAGTGAGTCAAAAAACAGGATGAGCTACAAGTTTAGAAGAGGGTGATACAATTGAATCCAGCTCTGGAAGCCATCTGTCTGCAGCGCCTCAACCACGGCATGCTTTTTATGTGTGCTTCACTTGAAATGAAATAGAAAATAAAAAGATTTATGCTCTGTATGGATCAAAAAAAAATTATTAAATGACCATGACCAAGACAATTTATTTGTCATCTCAGAGGTCACAAACCTAGGTAGCTATTCATCATCACATCAGGGGATGTGTCGGGCTGCTCCCTGGGAGGCTGTGTTTTATAAACAAACTGATCGGGATCTGTGTAGGAAATGCTGGTCAAAAACAGCAGGCCTGTACACATGCACGGGACAGAAGAGATTGAAGAAAAAGCAATTATACTCGGTAAGCGGCACGCCAGCTACTGCCGTGCTCGCTGGATGAGGAGGCCACCACTGCATCTGGCAAGCCACCCTCTTTGCCAGCTTCCAAACCTCATGCAGATCATTTTATTCCTAAAACCTACTGATTTTTTTGAAATGACAGATGCACAGACAGCATGGACAACCAAAATGTAACAGTACAAACTTGACACTTTTTCCCCCCAGGCAACCACCTTTGAGGAAATTCATTCCAAAAGTGGCAAATGCGTTGAATAAAAAATGTTTAATATTTTCAAATGTTCCAACAGAAACTAAGTTTATAAAATCCATGGGCATCTATCTTACAGACCAAAGTGTAGGTTTCTTGACCAAAGCCATTATCATCACATCAGGGGATGTGTCGGGCTGCTCCCTGGGAGGCTGTGTTTTATAAACAAACTGATCGGGATCTGTGTAGGAAATGCTGGTCAAAAACAGCAGGCCTGTACACATGCACGGGACAGAAGAGATTGAAGAAAAAGCAATTATACTCGGTAAGCGGCACGCCAGCTACTGCCGTGCTCGCTGGATGAGGAGGCCACCACTGCATCTGGCAAGCCACCCTCTTTGCCAGCTTCCAAACCTCATGCAGATCATTTTATTCCTAAAACCTACTGATTTTTTTGAAATGACAGATGCACAGACAGCATGGACAACCAAAATGTAACAGTACAAACTTGACACTTTTTCCCCCCAGGCAACCACCTTTGAGGAAATTCATTCCAAAAGTGGCAAATGCGTTGAATAAAAAATGTTTAATATTTTCAAATGTTCCAACAGAAACTAAGTTTATAAAATCCATGGGCATCTATCTTACAGACCAAAGTGTAGGTTTCTTGACCAAAGCCATTAACTTGAAATACCATAAACTAATTCCTAAATAAACCATTTGAAGAGAGGTTGTCTGTTAAAATTTATTCAAATAAAATATTGGTTTGTTGATAATATTTACCTTGGAAAGGAGTTTACCCTGAAAAAGTCTATTTAATAATTGAGACTCCAAACCACTCGGCCTTGTGTTCCCTTCCTGTCCTGCAAAGCCGCTAACAACATTCACACTCCCAGCTGCTTCCCACCCTGCCCCAGTCATTTTCATTAAGAATTTCTTCCCTTGGCTAGGGGATTATTAATTGTGTGACCTTGAACTAGGAAATTAATGTCCCTAAGGCACAAGTTTTTTTTTCCCCATCAGCAACAGAAGGACAATGATACTTATTTTATATTGTTGGGAAGATCAAATAAGACCTATAAAGTAGTAAGTATAGTGTGTGATTTATAGCCCATGGTAGGTGCTTAACAAGTGATAAGTATAACTTTTCTCCCTTCTATGCCTTCACACCAAGTTTTTAATTTGGGGGTGGGGAAGTTTCTGAAGTTTTTTTTTTTTTTAATTAACAGTATTGTTCATACATATCTATATAATTACAAAATTTTTTGAAGAATACATTTACTAATACCTTGTTTAGAATTATTTTTAGATCTACACCTATTTTTTCTCTTTTTTTAACCTTCCATTGTTCTAGTAATATCTCTAGCATATGGGTACGTCTCTATTTTTGAAAAAGAATAGGTTACTATTTACGTTTAGGAGATTTTTTACATTATTTCCAAGAATTGCACAGTAATTATTCTTTATGTCAACTCATACCAAGAATTAAAGCTTTTAAAAGCCTTTGTGTAATTACCATAATGCACATGAATAATTTAGGACACCATTAGTAATGCAAACAAGCCTTAGGAGTTAAGGAATTGGCACTTAGACACAATCCGGGTGTCCTCAAGAGCTGCCTTAGCACTCCTGCTTAGGCTCAGCTGTAAAGCCCCCGTGCCACCCGCCAGGGGCTTTGTGACAAGAGGGCCCCAATCCAGGAGCAAGGCCAACCCGTGGAGAACAGCAATCACAGAGGACGGACCTGGAGGTCTTGACCTGCCACTTAAGAGTAACTTCATAAATGCAGCTCTTAAAGAGTCTCTCTCCAAAAAGAGGCACTGAAGGGAGAGGGAAGGCATTTCAGCCTCCTGCGAACATCCATGCATGAACAGCCTGCCTCAGGTTACAGAGGCCGACACTAGCTCAGGAAACAGACCTCCACACAGGAGGACAGAAGATTTTAGGAGAGAGTAGTAGGTTTCCTCCTGCTTTGAGCAAGCTCAGGTGAGACGGGAAGGATCCCAAGCATCAGTCAGGTTACCTTGGGATCACCAAGGCTTAAATTCCAGTAAATGCAGCCACAGTCCCCTGGCTCCAACCTGGCCTCTTTCTCAGCCTAGCAGTCCAGGGTCCTGTGACAGCGGTGTCACACAGAGGCATCTGAAGAGGCAGGCATGCCGTCTACTCTCGTTCCTACCTAAATAACTGTTAGCAGGAACAGGAACTAGACTTTCATCATGGTCAGTCTCTCCACCAACTTCATAAGGCCCATCTTCAAAGATGTTCATGTCAAAAAAAGTGTTATTCTTTTGCTCTACGCGAACAATCCCTAAAAGAATGAAATGGTTAAAAAAAAATGAAGATGAAACAAAATAAAATAGATGGTTCCTAATAAACATTCCTCGTGTTATCATTAAGCACAGAAAGAAAAGTCTGGAGGAAGAAAAGGAGAAGAAAGATGACTTTTGAGGTTATTAAAGTTAAAAAATCATGTTCGTGTAGGTTTTTACATCAAACAAATCTGTTCTAGTAATAAAAAAAAAATGCCCATGCATTTTCATGAATTATCTTTATAATGCCATGACACTAGATGGAAAATGGAATGTTTACTTAGTTAACTAAACCTACGGAAAACTTTTAAATTATATGAACCTGATATATTTTACATTTTCTATAATCCTAAATCAATTTATCTTTTTACTATACTGTGAAAGTAAGATTAGTAGTTTGATCTTTTCTTCCAATCACTTTAACCAAAGATTTAAAAGCTTTAAAAAATTTTCACAGCTAATAATTGAAAAGAGAAGATCTCACATAGTCCACTATAAATGGTAACATTTTAAGTCAGAATTTATAAAGCAGATAAAACATGTTTCCCATAAATTAAACCATACATAATTGATGGGTGTTTTTATTGTTTTGTTTTACTATGTATGGCCTCTATTCTTGCTAAAATAAAACAATTTCTAAATTCATGTGTTATTTCGAATATTCGAATATTTCGAATAAGATAACCTGACAAATGCTGTTACGTGGAAGTTTTGGTTGGGGCCGGGGAGGCCAAAGGAAATTCTTCCCAAAGGTTGCTATCGAGCAAGGTGTTCTCAAGGCTCATTTCTAATAGGAAATTTCTGAATGCAAAAAGGGAAAATTTTCCTAAGTTTTTCCTGACTAGTGAAAATGTTATAACACAGGACTTATTTTAATAAATTTCTCAAAAGAAAAGTCTTATTTCCAAATCAGATGCATTTCTCTTCACTACGGATTACCGTAAGGTTAATTGTCCTTTATAACACAGTGGTTTTTCTACACCTGCTTAATTTCTTCAGAGAAGTTGAACTTTTACTACAGGAGCACTGACCATGTTCATCCAGGCAAAAAATGCAGGCCATTCTTCTCCCTCCCTCCCTCCCTCCCGGTGTCTCCTTTTACCTATATCACGAAATTATTTAAACAATACCATTAAACAATCTTTCCAGAAGTTATCCAAAATCATCTCAAAATTCCCTAATTTGACATCTATGCTTCTAACTATACTGCTTTATTAGCAAAACACAGCCTTTTAAGATAATACATAATGAAAACATGTCTAGGGCTTCCCTGGTGGCGCAGTGGTTGAGAGTCCGCCTGCAGATGCAGGGGACACGGGTTCGTGCCCCGGTCCGGGAAGATCCCACATGCCGCGGAGCGGCTGGGCCCGTGAGCCATGGCCGCTGAGCCTGCGCGTCCGGAGCCTGTGCTCCGTGGCTGGAGCCTGTGCTCCGCAGCAGGAGGGGCCACAACGGTGAGAGGCCCACATACCGCAAAAAAAAAAAAAAAAAAGTCTGTATTAATACAATGTTATTTGTACATGACACCACTCAATTATTTTCAGTTTTCAGATCCCTACCTTAAAATTAAAACTTTCATCTTCATGAAACAGGCAAATACAAAAGAGCAAAAACTAATGTTAATTATATTCTTACAGAAGAAAGTTAATTACTTATATTAATGTAAACTGCTGGCAGAGGGGGAAAAAATCTCTTAAAACATACATTTTGAATATTATTTGTTTTTAAAAATCAGAATTTAGATATTTTGCTATCCTACCCTACTTCTACAACATAAAAGTGCCTTATAACACATTTTGTTTTCATTTAAAATGTACTAAATCATGGTGCATATAACAGCAATTATGTAATAATTCTAATCTCTATCTCTATAAATACACACGTCATACCTTTCCAGTTGTAAGTGCCTGGGGCTCCAAACGCAATGTAATGAAAGTCTTTAGTAAAAGTAGCTGCTACACCTTGTTGGCAAGAACCAAATTTTTCATGACCTCTTAATCGGCCATCACAAAAACTCCAGTCTCCTCCATCCATATCATCTTCAATCCTGAGATTCTGACTTAGGACGTAACACCTTCCAAAAATGTCTCGGGATTCCTGTTTTGTATTAACATGCTGCCTTTTTTCATATCGATGAGCACATGTCTGCAAACAGATGGAATAAAGTAGCCCATACACGTCGGCAAACCCTACGTTTTTCATTACAAATTGGTGAAGTTGTCAATAATCAAGAGGTTAAATTCTAAGTGGGATGTTAAATGTGGCCTCCTCCTGAGATTGGATCTGAAAACCAGCAAATCTTCCTCCCCACAGTTGCAAGGAGACCATTATCTAGCACAGGGCTTCTGTCTTGCCCTCAGCCTGAGAATAATGCTCCAATCCAAATACTGAATGCCAATCTGTAATCCACAGGCAAATTTATTTATAAATTTACTTGTCACATAAACAGTGGGAAACACCCTATTTCATCTTCTCAGTTTAATTGGTTTTTAGTGGCTATATAAACCTTCACATCAGTATGTTTGTGAAAATAAGTACTCATATTCCAGAGGAGAGAGAACATGGACATATTTTCACAGGGATCAGGCTAACACTGCTAAAACAAAGACATTTTCCTTTTACCTATACTATTTCCTTATAATCAATACTAACTAACTTATCCTCTGAACTCTGAGATTAAGTTTATTTTAAAAGGCAGAGACAATTACACTGCTGGGAGAGATGAAATAATCTCTAATTTTACAGGGTATTCATGGTCACCCTCCATATAACAGGCTGAAAACACTTTACAATGTCCAAGTCAATTTCCCATAATGCATCCCCTTAGATATAAAAATTCAGTGTTTGGTAAAATTCTCACTTTTCTCAAAATTCTACATAAATTTGTTACAGCAACCAGATTTTGAAAGAAACAGAAAGATCATCATAATCCAGCCTGGCACCTCCAAGGCCACCTCGCACAATCCATCTAACAGACCCTTTTTTCTTCGTTACCACTTCTATTTGAAGAAGCTCAGAATATATAATAAAAGAGTTTAAAATTATCTGATCCTTACTTTCCGTGACCATTCCCATATTTTTTTTATAACTCATCTACAATAGCTACATAGTTCCTGAGACAAAAAGCATGCCTAGTTTTTTTGTTGTTGTTGTTTGTTTTTAACATCTTTATTGGAGTATAATTGCTTTGCAATGTTGTGTTAGTTTCTGCTGTATAACAAAGTGAAGCATGTCTAGTTTTGCTTTGCTTCTTGTTTTAAGACCACCTAGAGTTTTAGGGACATTGGTAAAGGTTTTTAAATAAGTTCTTTGAATCTGAAAGTTCTAAAGAAAAGCAGATCGTAGAGCTATTTCAAAATAGATCAGAAATCACAGGAAAAATAAGGCTTTCATTTCTTCTTGACATCAATTCCTGCTTTAAAGCAGTCAGTTTTCTAGAATGTATACTCTATGCAGGCAGAAGCTCTACCTGTTTTGTTCAATACTGTAAGCCCAGCAGTGGCACACAACAGGCACTCAGACACTGTGGAATGGACACACTTCTCTACACTTACCACAACTTTGCCCCCTGGACCTTGGCTCTGGACGGTGACCCCCATCCACTGATCTTCCTTGCTTTCCGATGAAGGGTCAGCTGTGGAGAAAGCAGCACAGTTTACACAGAGTTATGACTTCAAAGCCATTGCAACAGGAAATGAACCAATATATGAACAAAAATATAAGAAACAGCTTCTAAATTGTCTTGACTGCAAGTCTAAATACTTAGTAAATTTAATTACTCAATCCAGAAAAATTACTTCTCATCTTAAGAAAATGGGTGAGTGATTATTGGTATGAATGATTCATCAAATTCTTTATATAAAATACATACCTTTACCTGGTAGCCCTTCACTTTCTCTGACATCCAGGGTCCCGAGTACAGAAACTACCATCCAAACTAACAAAAAGTGGGTACTTCTCTACATACTCCCAAATTTGTTACATAATAGCATGAACTCTTCTTTACTGCAGATGGGAAGACAAGGCCTCAGACTCACTTTATATCTTCCTATCAATGCAGAAAAGGAAAGTGATATATTTATTTTTACCTCCTTCCTCCAAAAAGGAGAGAGAGGGAAACCATAAATCTCACCATGTGCTCATTTCAGTATCAATCTGAGCCTACTGTTTGACCCTACATCCAAATTTTTGCCTTCCCCAATGAGCAGGCAGGCATGATTTCCAATCTTGAATCATTACAAAACTATGAAACCTGGGGCTTCCCTGGTGGCGCAGTGGTTGGGAGTCCGCCTGCCGATTCAGGAGACGTGGGTTCGTGCCCCGGTCTGGGAGGATCCCACATGCCACGGAGTGGCTGGGCCCGTGAGCCATGGCCACTGAGCCTGTGCGTCCAGAGCCTGTGCTCCGCAACGGGAGAGGCCACAGCAGTGAGAGGCCCTCATACCGCAAAAAAAACCAAAAAACAAACTATGAAACCTAACAACTTTAGGTAGACAGAAGGAAAAAATGCCAAAATGTTAAGTAAAGAGCAATTATGCCTACATTATCAGTGGGTCTGGGTTTTTCCCTTACAGTTCAAAGTCATTTACAAGTTTCCCACAATTAACATGTATTATTTTCTAATCAGTAAAAAAAAAAACCCAAAAACAAATACTGTTGCTAAAAAGATGAAAAAGCAAGAGAAGAACATAAACATGAATCTGCAAATCTGCTTAGACCAAGTATGTCAAACTAGGTTTGGTTGCAGCTTCTCAGGACCCTAATTGCTCTGCCTACCACACAGAGTCTGTGCAAAACAAGCCTCTAACTGAGATAGTAGGGCAAAATTTATCCATGTTGGCCAGCTTTCATTTTAGAGAGACCTGATGTTTAAACAGTCTTTCTCCCAAATATTTTAACAGCAAATGAGAACTTTTGGCCGCTGAGTACAAAATACACATTCAATTTTCTTCGCGGCTGTGAATACAGTTTCTCTCCCGTAGAACCTCTCAACACATCACTAGGTGGCGACATCGATACACCATATCAGTTTAGAAAGCAGAGTTGGGTAGGGGGGCGGGCAGGAACTACGCTGCAGCCCAGTGACTTAAAACTTAAATGTGCTCAGGGCAAGCAAGAAACAGACGACGCTGATGCAATTAACAGAGGCCCTCTCGCCAAGAATAAGTGCTTGTCCCCCCCCCCCGCTTTCCTTCCGCCTGGAAAGGGCAAGTGGGATACAAGGCAAGTTGGTCAAGGGAACCCTGAGTGAGTGCAGAAGAACTCACCGTCGTTATCAAATTCAATCCGTGGGCACGGCCCCCGGGAGGTGATGTCGCAGCTGTACAAGCCTCCTGTTCTTTTGGCCTTCTGCAGCGGAAGGGCCACTGCCCGTGGGGCCCCCACGAGCAACCTGTTGACGAAGCAGAGAATTTGCAGATTTGAGTTGAATACGCATGTAACGTTTCAATCAGTCAGAAGCAGGAGATACTGGGGTTATTCTTTATCAAGGAGTCCCCTAATTCTCTGCCAGTTTAGGTGGTGAGGGAGAACAAAAGCAGAGCCCTGTGACACACACACACACACGCAAAACGATGCAAGCACAAGAAAGGTTGTTGAAACAAGGTGAAGGATACGCGCGTCTCTCATCGAATCAGCAGCTCTCTGTGGAGCACGATTCTGGTGTTTCAGAAGCCACGCTTTGCACAGAGCTTGCCCCCTGCACCTAAGCCAAGGACATTATAAGGAACCCAGACACAACAAACACTCCCACACTGGAGAAGAAAAATGGTCACATTAAACTCAACAAGCGATGATACGTCCATTTCCAACATTGTGCCTTCCTGGGGGTGGTTTTCAAAGGTAATTTTGAATGTCCCCCAGATTTCCAGTTTTTACACTGTCATTAATTAAACCGGGAGGCCATCAGACTGAGGTGGCTCTAACGCTGTGGCAGCCTACGGAAGCGAACCAAAATCTCAGCCTGTAAACGCCTCACTGTTGCAAAACCAAACCCTAAGGGCAACCAATCACAAACTGTGTCCATCCCATCAAATCGTTTCCTTGCTTTGCTTCCTTACTTTCCCTGTGTCTTTCCCTGCTCCTGTCGGTGGAGCACCGCTAACCACTTCCGCTTGACGCTGCCAGGTTCGCACTGATTTCTGCTCAAACTCGTCGAGTTTTTAATATGCCTCAGTTTACCTTTTAACAACACAGATTTGGAACCAAACCTTTGCCCAAGATACAACTCAACTGAATTACTCTTTTGCAGCCTCTTTCTGCATCAATTCTTACTTCCTGGCATTTTGGTCATCTCGACAAGCTCCTCCTTTATCGTCCAATTAATCCCCACCAAGGATTCAGGGATACCACTTACGTACTAGGCATCCTAATATTCCCTCTCCCCTCCCACCTCAGGGTTCTTGCCATCTCCAGTAAGAGGGGCTCCTAAGCCAAACCCACAATCCTGAAAATCTGTTTCCCAGCCAGAGGGATCTTTAGAGACCCACTACCTTTCTGCTGTGTTCTTTTTACTTAATGCCCTTTACTCACCATCAGTTTTACAATCTTTGAGGTCTGGCTGACTGACAAGAGGAGAAGAAACAAAGAGAAAGAACATACACCTGACTGGACAGAGAAACAGAGCTGAAAGGGAAACCAGGCTGGAGATGGGGAAAAGGGCTGGGAACACGAATGTGAACCAACAACCAACTCCCAAAACAGAAAAGCCACTCCTGGCCTTCAAGAAACTCACAAATCTCAGATGCCAAAAACAAAAGAACAAACAAACAAACAAACAACCCCACACACACAACAGTCCTTACCACTTTTGTCTTTGCTATGATCCCAATAAAGGATTTAAATTTTTTTTTTTTTTTAAACCAATGCAACGCAGTGGGTACAATGCAAAGAAAATGCACTCAGAAAACAGAGACGGGAGCCAGACTCTGCCCAGGGAGAACCAGTGAGGCAGGTCTTACAGAACGATGGCTGGCTTGTGTGGGAACATGCATCCCTTGCACCATCCTTCCTCCCAGACCCTTGGGTGGAAGCACCATCAGCCTCCACCTCCAATTTGTCCAACATTTAAGGGATGAAACAAAACACACCAAAGTACGGAACTGCAGGACCAAGGTGGGGTCCTTGGTGCCTGGAACTTCTGTGCAGAGGCAAGGCCAAGGGCTGTCCCACACCTATTCCGCTAATGTCATTCTTGATCCCAGGAGCACTGACAAAGAGCTGAGAGGTGAACTAGGCTACACTGTGAGTGAACAAGCTCAATTATCCAGCAGGTGTGGAGATGGAACCCTGTCTAAGTACTTCAAGGGATAAGCAAAGTGCTAGGGTCAGAAGCACAAAATCACAGGATGTGGGCACTGGAAGTACCGGAAAATGCATCCAGCCCTCTAACTTCACAGAGGAGGAAACAGGGGCTTTGGGGAGGAGGGTAAGTACCCTGTCCCTAAGACCTCACAGCTAGTTGGGAGCCAGGGAAAAAAACTACCTTGGAGCAATGTTTTCTCCATTCCTCTAAATTGCTAGCTCCTAGGAAAATAAAACCCAGGATTTTAAGGTGTTCACAATTTAAATGAAAGGGCAAAACCTACACAAATGAAACATCGAAACAAGAACTGTTCCATTTACTAAGATTAATTCAGAAAGGGTGAGGGAAGGCGGAGGCGAAGCATTATTGCAGCTGGGTGGGGTGAAGGTCACCAGGAGATTTCCTGTAAAGGTAACGACTCCAACAGGCAAGGCTATAAAGAGCAGAGCAGGCCAGGAGTTCCAAGGTTATTACAGTGTGCCTTCTCTGACCACTTCCTCTCCTCATCCCCGCCCAAGGAGCCTGGCAAGCTACCATAGGCAGGTACTGGGGCTTGTTATTTCCCGTTGACCGTCCTCGCTCATTTGTTCACTTATTCATTCCACAAACATTCAAGAGCCTCCTAGGGTGAGTAAGAATTGCCCCCCTCCCTGTCAAACCCTGGCCCTGTGAGAGCCAGATCCAGAATCGGGTCTTTAAACCACAGGGAGGTAGAAGCAATGGGAGGCCGGGGCAGAGTGCCACGCCGGTCCAGAGGGCACTAAACCTGCCCTGGAGCGTGTGTCACCTAGAGATGACAGGAGCTGGAGGTGGCCCAGTGAGGGGCACAGCATGTGCACGGGCTGAGAGGGAAGGGGCTGGAGGAAATGGAAGAGCAGGAATCGGCGATGCAACAAGACGGGACTGGGGATGGGCAGCCTGATCTGCGGAGCTCCGCGTTCCGGTGCAAAAGGCCACAGATGCGCACCTGCGCAGCGCCTCAGGGCCCCTGGCTTCCGCTGACCGTTTGTCCCCAGCAGGGGACAGGTGCTTCCGGGTTTCCTGTTGTTTAAAAAGCTGCGGAGATTGTTCCATTTACATGGACAGTCCTTCAGAGCAAGCCGCTCCCTCCAGCCTCTTTTCCCCTGGCTGCGTGGGAGGGCTTCTCCCTCTTCGGTACCTGCAGATTCCACTGCTTCCCAGGCCCTCAAAGGGCGGGCCTCTACCACGCAGGAACCCTTTCACTCCAGTTGGCTGGCTAGTTATAGCGCTGTAGGGACAAAATTTCCCGGATGCTACGAATGCCAAGCTCTTGCAGAAGTTCCCCCGCATTCTTTGGGGTTACTGCATCTGAAAGCTGACCACAGAGAAGGATGGAAGCAGCTGGAAGATTGTGGGGGAGGGGGGGAGAGGGGACAACACATGGGAAAAGGGAACTTGACAAAATAAGAGAAATGTACCTCTGGAGAATAATGTTAGCTGCCTTGTGTTCCCAGTACTATCCTTCCGCCCAGGTTCCTGGACAGTTGGCACAGTGAGCGCCGCTTCGGAATCTGTCCTAGCTCAGACGGAGGAGGCAGGGTGCTCTGGGGCCTCAGGCCACAGGCAGCCAGAGGGGGAAGACCAGACACCCATCAGTGGGGGGTGCCCCTGCTCTAGCCGCACCCCATTCCCTGGGACCACACTTACAGGAAGACAGTGATGGGGAGGGAAAGTAGAGCTGTAAGTCAGACAAAATCAGTCATAGAAAAGGTGAGGAAGCACCTTGATGGAGGAACATGGTACCCCCAACCAAAGTCAACAACTGGCAGGTGGCTAAATCCTCAAGGGAAAGTCACCGTCTCTTGTTCAGGAAATAAGCAAACTCTGATTTCTGCTTAGAACCAGCCTTAATCACAGGAGGTCACAGCCCATTAGCTGAGGCTATGTCTGGCAAGGATAAAGAATTGAAAATAGAGCTGTAACCAGTCGATGACACCATCCCCAGTGCAACCCATCTACTTCCTCATTAAGTCCTTCAGGACCTGGGCACTGGCCTAAGCCATTCAGAACCCAGCCAGCTCCTGGGATAGCACAGCGAGTGCAGCTCTAGGGGGGACAGTCTGCATCTGGGGGGTAGACTCAGGCCACACCAACATCCAGTTTCTGCTCAAATCCCACTTTTTTCCCTTTGAGGCTGGGTTTAATGTGAGCACCAGGAGCTCTGGGCACTGCAGGGATGGATGCCCACAGCAACTCCTAGGGCCCGGGGAAGCATGTGCCAGGCTGTTCATTTTCTTTTAAGCAGCAGCAGCTGCTTTTTACTGACCCACCCAGTACCACTGGAGGGATTCAGAACTACAGTCTCACCTCACATTCAGAGTGACAGGGACCGAGGAACATGAAGTCATGGCTTTTGAAGGGAAGCGGTGGAAATGAACAGAACAGGGTCTTAGAAACCTATTCCCATATATCGGGTCAGAAGAAAAACTGTAATCAAGGAAGGGCAAGAATCTGGATTTGAACTAAGATTGTTTTAGACACCAAAAGGAACAGGAAAAATTACTTCCCAAATTGCTTTCCACAGGGCCATTGGACAATCACCTCCACTGTTTCAAGCTGTACTGACATAAACACTGCCTTGGGATTCCAACATAATGGAAACTTACCTTTAAAATACAAAACTCAAAATGTGTAAAACCACATAATCTTTAAAGATGAGAAATGAAATTTGAAATAGTAAAATACAATGTAAAAGGCAAATTGCACAAGTGTGGCAGTGACTGAGGACATGATATCAATTCAGGCCTTTGGAGTCTAGATCAAAATTCTTGGCACAAAGATGCAGGATCCTTATCATGCTATTAACCACAAGGTTATTTCAAACTTCAAGCAAGCCATACTCCTATTTCCTATAGTCAAGTTCTCCCCCAAGCAGAGCCAGTATACTTTTGCATAACTACATCAACCAAAAGTTCTAAACACTGGGGTACTTTTAAAACTCTAAGGACGATAGCAGCTTTGCTTCATTGTTTTTGGCAATAATTCATTTCCTCAAGGATTAAAGATTCTGCCTCTAGCTATGCAACTTTGTCCCAGGAAATGTGAAATATTGCTTCATTAGAACAAGG